AAGATTAGTTTGTCCTCTTAACCTGATATTTTAGGCATTTGTTTAAATTTGTAAAGGTAAATGGCCACTAATGGGTTTTCTCCCACCAGAAACAAAAATTGCATGTGTTACACTTTAGGAATAAAGAGGGAAAAAATACTAAACATTGAAAAAAGGAATTCTTCCAATTAGCTTCTCATTTTTTAGACACATGCAAAGTAAGGATATGCATAATGGACTCTATTCTACACAGAGGACAGTGGATGATCTCTGGGCAAAGATTACTGGGGAAGATGATTGGGGGAAAGGTCTTCTGAACAATCCAAATATGAAAACATGTCTGGTGTTTGTAAGGAACACAAACGACACATGAACAAAAGGGCTCCACTGATAAAAGACAAACTAAAATCAAGAAAACCATTTTTGACCAGTGGTGGTTGGGGCAGAGGAAATAACAGAGGCATTCTCAAGAGACTCCTCTTAAAGGGCCCACGACTGACTTAGGACTCATACAGACCCACCATCTCTGGGATTCAGCACCAGGACAATAGTTGGAAGGGCACCAGTGGCACACGGGGAGCAAGTGAAGTGACTGGAAACAGGATGAGTACAAGGAGACAGCTTCCTCCAGGGAAAAACTCCAGAGGCCAGGCAGTGGCATTGTCCCCTCTCCAAGCTCTCTCCCACACAGTCACACAGCAATAGATTCATGACTATCAATAATTGAATTCAAAAAACAAACTAAGCAAACAAGCAGAACAGGTACAGAATCATAGACCTGGAGATCATTTGGAGGGTTATTACATGGGAGGGGGAGGGGGAAAGTGAGGGGAAGGGTGCAGGGATTAGATAGTGCAAATTGGTTGGTGTAGGATTGACAGGGGGATGGTGAAAGCAGTATGGGTAATGGGACAGCCAAAGAACTTACATGCAAGACCCATGGACATGAACTAGGTGGGGGACAAGGAGGGAAAGATGGGGACAACTGTAATAGCATAATCAATAAAATATGTTTTGATAAAAAGAAAAACATTTTTGTTCGTTACTTTTAGCATTTTCCTACTTCACTATACTTTCCAGTATAGAGAATACTTTCTAGTTTTATCTAAGTCATAAGAAAAGACTTATTTATGCATAAGTTATCCAGGTTAATTTTAGAAGACAAGATTTTTCAATGAGACTATACAGAAGCATTTAATAAAATTTTAATGCTTACCAAAATAGTGTAAAAGTTTGGAGCTTAGACAAGATCGATAAAATATTCAAGTATTTTACTCAATAAATAAAGGGCTTGGAGGGATGCTTAGATTCCCTTGCTACCATTTCAAATTGTAATTGTAAATTTGGCACAAAAGGGTTTTTAAAAAGATTTTTGTTCTATTTCTTATGAGTACATTCCTGAGAAAAACTGCTAGAATATTTGCCAGTGACTTGGACCTATGTTTTATGACTTGGCAGAATGTCCTAAAGGATTTCAGAACTGAGCTGAGTAACCTGGGATGCTTGGGGATGCCGAGCACACCTGGGGAGGAGAGGCTCTGCTGGCATCAGAAGGCAGGATGGGCTGTGCACTGTTGGGAGGAAGAGGCACAAGACCGCCCAGCATTGTAAGGGTAGGGTGATGCTAACACCCTAAATGTTAGCTCTATTCTTAAGCCATGAGATAGGTGGCTCTCTTACTGGGGCCGAGTGACCACCTTCACATCTCTCGGCATTTCTCTGTGGCCACTTTCAACATGAGCTAACACTTCCAGCACCAGAAGGTCTGCACAAATAATGCAGGTTTGCCTCCTTTTCCTCAAGGCCACCTGATTGGACTTTTGCATTTCCAGTCAGTCAGTTAGCAAACGTATATGGTGTTTTTACCATGTGCCAGACTAACAGCTAGATAAATGCAAAGTAAATGGAAAAATTAAATAGGGGTGGGGAATAAGTAACCAGGAATGTGGGAAGAGACCAAAATACTCAAAATCTCTCAATGAGGAAATCTATAAATCTTCAGAAGGAAGAACAGAGCTGAAGAAACCTAGACCATTTCCCCCCATCCTAGTGCTTACCCCATTCCCACCAGCGCCAGAGTGCATAGGACTCCAAGCAGGTGTGAAAGAAGCAAACAAAGGTGATAAAGGAGCAATTGTGAGGCAGCTCTGGGGAGGCCAAGTAGAACAAAATTGTCTCTAGCAGAGAGCAGCATGCTCCCATTATCTAGTTTGCAGATGGACCACCCAGAGAATCTGGAAGTACTTAAGAGGGAGAAAAACAAATGGGGGGCAGCTGAGGATGATGGGAGGAATGGAGTCCCCAAACTATCTCCCGCTAGGAAATCAAAAGTGAGACAAGACTCTGGGACCAGAGGAAAAGACAACCATCATAACCAAGTGCGGGCGTGCACACTCACATTCATATCCACAATCACTTTAGTAAGGGAGTGATAAAATTTACAAAGCGACCAGGAAACAGATGTTAAAATGTAGAAAGTAGGAAACCACATCGAAACTCCACTTATTGGCCCTGACCCCATAGCTCGGTTGGTTAGAGCACTGGTGATATGCCAGTGTTGTAGGTTCGATCTCAGGTCAGGGCACATGCAAGATTCAACCAATAAATACATGAACAAGTGGAACAACAAATCAGTGTTTCTCTCCCTGTCTCTCTCAAAAATTAATCAATAAAAAATATGAACTCCAATTATCTTCAATAGCCATTTGAACACTTAAAAGTGAATTCTGAACAGGACAAGTAAATTTTACAAATTGCATTTTTTTAATCAACAAAAAGTAGAGATGGGTTCACACTCTTTCAAAGTTGACCGCCCACCACTCCCTTCAAAACCATGACTCTCCTGCCAGTCTGAAGACAGTATGACATTCTGTGTTCCTGCCATGGGCCAGGCAATATGCTGTCTTGCCCATAGGGCTTGTTTCACAAACCCTAAACCCTCTCCCCTCAAAATATTAATCTTATTCTTTAACTGATGAAGAGAAAATCTATTATCTGAAATTTCTTGATCTAGGTCATGTGGCTAATAAGTAGCCTGAGCCAGAATTCAAACATAGACTCCAGATCTCTTTGAAATGCCCATGACCCTCCAAACTGAGTGGGGTTTGCTTCCTGTACGCAATCTGACTTGTGCCCTCTGCTGGAAACATACTCTTGTCATTTCTGCCTTTTCAAGTTCGTCATATCCGCAAAGCCGTTTTCCATCCTGTCTCTCAAGTGAAGCCTTTCTTGATCTCTTAAGCCAGATGGCCTCCTGGATTGCTGCCTCTTCTGAATGTCTGCGGCGCTACTGACCACACGTCCAGGCTGCCCCTGTCAGACCAGCCATGTCAAAGTGCATTTTCATACTACGTTATATGTAATGTTTTCCTGTCCAATGCTGGAATTTTGCTTTAAAACTCTCATTTTACTTAGAATTACTTATGGCCTCTCAGCAACCCTGTGTACACTTAAGAATTCTTGAGATATGAAAGCTTCTAAGTTATTTTCAAATATTGACAAAACTTATTGTGATTATTAAGCTTGACAGTAATTAAGACTGGTAAGTATCTTGTTAAGTTTTAAACCTTTGTTAATTTCAATTTGCAGAGGCCTTTCCTTGTTTTTAGAGCCTACAAATGTTTTTCTTTTCGGATCTCAAAAAATTATGTAGGTCCTTGGAAATCTAGAAGGTGCTAAGCACTGTGCCTAAAGTATTTAAGAGGCAGAACAGCCCTGCTCACGCCTGAGCCAGGTGCTGTGCTGCATGATGGTTACAGCGAGAACTGCTGTAAGCCTCACCCTGCCTCGTTGTCAGGGTTGTAAGCTTACTGAACACAGTGATGCTCCCGTCTCAGCGACTGTGCCATTTTTAGAGCAACTGGCACATTTGCCATACAACAAATACTATGGACTCACTTATTTAAAAATGTAAGTCTTAGATAAATACAAAAAGTACAACTTCGACTACATACTCTATAATCCCATTCTTAAAATAGTGACAGTTATTGGAAATTATGCTCCTTATACTTTTCAAAATGTTTGGGTTCTCTTTCCTTTGGGAAAAAAAATGCTTTGTCTTCATTGCTTTGAAAGATGGAACAAATAAATAGACTATATAAATAAAACATAGTAGGAATCTCTAGAAGTGTGCAACCTCTAGATTTTTTTTTTCCCAACTAGTGGTTAGTTACACACTTCCTTCTAAGCATTTAGTTACAAAGAGTTGCACTCATAATTTTCCAGATTTCACATGTCTCTATACAGTTGTGCCTCTTTATTACACAGCAAATTATTCTTGGGTCCAGGTAAATTTACTTTGGTAGTATTTAGATTTTAACTAAATGCAATCCAATAGCATTTTAACATATGTAACTAAACAAAAACTACTCACATGCTCAACTGTTAGGTGTGGGGAAGAGAAGGTTGATGGTCTATGAGAAATAAGGACAGGGAGCAACAGCATTCATCTCCATGAACCAGCCCGTAAGACACAACACTTTCTCAATGCCAGTAGAAAATAATAATTCATTAAAAGCAAAACAAAACCCCAGTATGCATGAAGTAAACTGTAACAAGATTTATATGGATCATATGCATTTACATAAACAGCATGCAAAGTTTCATGGTAGATACTCATCCTTTAGTGTAACAATTGGGCCTGATATTGAAAGGCCTAGCTATTAAATACTCTTTGGTAATACTGCTAACACTGAATTTTTCCATCTTAAGATAATGTTGCTACTATTTGTAGTATTCTCTGCATCTGGCATGTTTTGTCCATGTCTAGACCCAGTAAAAACCCCAGCTTAGCCTGCGGTCAGGCCCAGTGAAGCAGAAAGTCAGATTTCATGTTGCCACTGAGAGAAAGTGATTTAAATCTGCCCATGACTGCATTCTAAGAGAATAACCAAAATCCTTAAAACTGAGCACTCCATGCTCACATCAAAAACCGAGAAGAGAGAAAGAAACACAGGTCGGAGCAGTAGGGAAAAGGGCCGGGAGAATGTGTGTTCTTCAGACAGCTGGATGGAGAGGCCCACCTCTTTCCATTACTATCCCGAAGCATCGTTTTTCCCATCTTCGTTTCCAGCTCCTGTACCTCCTCCAGCAATGTTTTCTTGCAGGTATGCTTGGCCCTATGTCACAAGGAAAAGACAATAAAAACATGACACATGAAATTTACACAGTTGTGAAGGCTGAGTGTTTTCCTCCTGAGCCACATCTGGATACCTTTCGACTGACTGACGCTAAGGCTTGCGGCATCGTGGAGCATTTCAGTCCCCATGCATGGCCCGGACTCCACCTGGGGAGCACCCCAAGTCCTGGAGAACATCTGGAGTCACCTCCACAAGACTACTGGTTTTTTTGCTGAAAGCCTGTAGATCAGTCTGAGGATCCCAACCATTCAGACCAAACATGGGGACGGGGCAGGGAGGGTGGTTCCTGGACACTCCTGGGTCTGTCACTAAAGCTTTTCACTACAAGACCTAACAACTCAGAAGATGCTTTAAATCCCCACCCTAGTGGACGTGTGCCAATCCCTTGGCCCCATCCTCTACACTGATCAGAAAGTTCCGGGTGAGTAGCTTCCTCTCTTTCTTTTTAGTGTGCAAAGAGCCACTGCCACAGCAGGAACAAAACGTGTATAATGCTAGAGCTCATGCTTTTCATGCCAAATCCTTGACCTGAAGCTTGGGTTTGACACAAGTTCTCAGGCACAGCTTCTTTGAAGCAGCCTTGTAGGGAGAGCCCAAGCCGGCGCCTCGATGGTGTCAACCCCTGGTGGTAAGCTGCCTCTCCACCATAACTGAAACCTGGCCTCGACACATAACTCTTGAACTGTAGGAAGAGGTACCTGTACCCTCTTTTTGATTAGACTGATATTCAAGTAAGTGGCTGATCTCAGGACCTTCCTAAAATTGAGACTGAACAGAAAACTACTGGTTGGAAACAAAGGTGAATAAAAGACATTTAAGAAGATACAAGTTAGAAATAGGTGGAAAGAAAAACATTCATGACGTAGAAATATAGGGAGGACTTACATACAGGGTGGGGCAAAAGTAGGTTTACAGATGTTCATATGGAAAATAATACAATTAATAAATAATAATACAAGAATCAACTGTGTTTTGCATACTCACAACTGTAAACCTACTTTTGCACTACTCTGTATTATGAAAAGCTTTTCGTTAGTTTCAGTATAAATGAATAGGAAGATCCTACTAAAGACAGAATAAGGACAAAGATGGAGCATATACTTGTGAGGACGTGAAAACAGTGTAACAGGGACATTCTAAAGACATGAGCTGTTTTAGTGGAATCACATACTCCTGCCCACCCTCCACTTTCAAGGAAAAAAAGTCAGTTAAGATAATGCCCAGTCATCCCCTAACACTCCGAGTTAATCTATAATGGAGTATCAGTACTAAGACACTGTATATGTGCCTGTCATTCCTTTTCCCCAAAGTAAACAAGAGAACTAAACCACACAGGTTTTAACACATAATACCTTAATTACATCAAGTAGTGTTCTGAGACTCAGTAGTGATAAAATACTCCAGTTTAAAGCAGAGGCTATGGAATTTTAATTTAAACAATAAATGAGAAAATGTTTAATATTTTTCTGGGAAGAAGGCAGTCAAAAAGAACTTTATAGTTTGTACCATTCAATATTATTGAATATGCTGTGCCTCAAACTTTCCTTTTTATCTCATCCGCTTCTGGGGCTATAATGATAACAACTTCCACTACACTTGGATTCACCCCAGACACACAGGTCCCATGAGAATGTGTCTGGTCCATGCTCAAGGAGGTGCATGCTCTCTCACTTTCATCATCGTCCCTTCCTCCCTCCCTGGCACCCCACACAGAGCAAGCAGGGTTCACGACCTCTACACAAGCCCTCAGTATTATCTTCTGGGTGGGGAGAGAAGGGCAACTCTAAGAAGCAGGCTAGGAACGGGAAGGCTGGGCCACTGGGCCCAGAGCACTGGAGAGCAGCAGCATAGGCCAAGAACAAAAGAAACCTGCCCCACTGTCATTGAAGCTGCCACTTTTCACCCATTCACAAAATCACCTCAGAGGGAAATGACCTAAATATATCTTGATGCCACCAGGCACTGTGTAGGTTCTCGGTAGACGTGACTGCATCCACGTCGAAGAGTCATTCAGCAGGTCCCAGCGTGCCCGGTGCTGGCCCCCGAGGGCCAGCCTGGGAACCTAGCCAGTGGGGTCAACCTGCTACTGGGGACGATCTGCTACTCTCCACGTGTAGCACTGGGGGAGAAGTGATGCTAGCAATTTAAAACTCTTCTCTCAAGAACATTTACCTAATAAGGCCTTAATTAGGTAAATGATTCTAAAATGATTCTAAAATCTCCTGTCAAAGTCTACATGTGAATTGACTAAAACCTAGTAAGTAAAGGTTTAAAAAGCCAGCCTTTAAGCATTAGCCACTGGTGCATAATTTAGGTCTCATCAGGAGCTGGAGTTCGGCTTGTGAGTCACAGCCTGGACAAAGTGGGCTCCGTTATCTTTGAACTGCTTATTCCCAGTGGTCCAGGGCTTGCTTCATCTAACCCCACATTAAGAGACAAAAGGGGAGGGGTGGGGTGCTTAGCCACTTGTCAGAAAGTGTGAGATTTGTCTGTGAGCCGTCACATAGCGCCAAGAGTGTCTCCAGCTTATTAGGAAATTTTAAAATAAATAGATCGGCTTAGAATCTTGACCTTTTCATTTCTTTGTTTCTGAAACCTTTTCCTGGACTCTTTCTTTTACATGGAAGGATAGCAAGTTGAAAGGGAATGTTAAATTCTAAATGTGGATGAAAATGCGCACACAATGTGCTTCAAAAGAAATTAGTGTAGCTAGAAAGTTTTAAAAAAAATCAAGGCCCATTTGTATACAGAAATTTCTTATTATGTTTTATTTCCACTTAACTGCCTGTGGGGATTATAATAAGGAAATGAAGTCATTCTGGAATTGCTGAATGTATTGTGTGCTGACTGGTAGACTACAGGAGATACAAGTTAGATAAAAGGGACTGGTTCCCGAGTTCTGTGGCCTTGAGCTTTATATTATTTTTCTAAAGCAATACTGACAAATTTCTCCTAGATGAGAATAAGTACATGGCAGCCTACTAAGAATGCTGTCATAGGTAAACATTTTGGAAGAGTGTAAGCTAAAGGATATTAAAATAGTTCTGGTCAATTTAAACTTCGTGCTTCTAATAAAAATACTCATTAGCCAGGTATCACATATAATCAATCAATTATTTTAATAAAAGATATATTAGTTTGGTCCCTTATGAAAATTCTGGTTAGCAGGATAACAGAGGAGGTATTTTATGGCATCCAAATCCGACTTAAGATAGTCTAATAATGTATCTTCATCCAGAAAGTCGACAGACTTCATGGAAAAAATGACTGAATTACCTCATGCTGTTTTTTTCTCACTCTTAACACTCCAGGTCCCAAAATGGATGGGAGCGACTGAGGCAAAGGAGGGGAAAATGCAGGAAGATAGAATAACTCACTGTCTCTCTCCTTTTCTTCCCTTCCTTCCTTTCCTTTCTTTCTTTCTTCCTTCCCTCCCTTATTTCTCCTCCCTCCCAACCCTCCCTCCCTCCCTCCCTTCCTTTCTTTCTTATTTTTCAAATACATTTCTCTCCATTTATCCCCTTTCCCCTGTCCCACCCACCCCGACCTCCCCCCCTCAATCCTTCCCCACCTTGGCTTTGTCCATGTGTCCGTCACACCTGGTCCTTGATGTGACCCTTCCTCTTCCCCTCCCTGCTATCCCCCTCCTTCCCTCCCTCCCTCCCTCCCGTCCCCATCGGTTTCTTCTTTCTTTCAATGTTGCTGGTCATATTTTCCTTGCCTGTTTGCTTTGCTGATTAGGTTCCACTTATAGGTGAGATCATATGGTATTTGTCTTTCACTGCCTGGCATATTTAACTTAGCACAATGCTCTCCAGTTCCACCCAAGCTGTTGTGAAGGGCAGGGGTTCCTTCTTCCTTTCTGCTGAGTAGTATTCCATTGTGTAAATGTACCATAGTTTTTGGATCCACTCATTTACTGATGGGCACTTAAGTTACTTCCAGCACTTGGCTACTGTAAATTGTGCTGCTATGAACATTGGGGTGCATAGGTTCTTTTGTATTGGTTTTAGGATTCTTAGGGTATAATCCCAGCAGTGGAATCGCTGGGTCAAAAGGCAGTTCCATTTTTAGCTTTCTGAGGAAATTCCAAAGTGTTTTCCACAGTGGTGGCACCAGTCTGCATTTCCACAACACTGCAAAAGGGTTCCCTTTTATCCACAACCTCGTCCTCACCAGCACCCGCTGTTTGCTGATTTATTTATGATGGTCATTCTGATCGGTGGGAAGTGGCATCTCATTGTGGTTTTAATTTGCCTCTCTCTGATGGCTAGTCATGATGAGCATCCTTTCATATGTCTCTGGGCCCTGTGTATGTCCTCCTTGGAGAAGTGTCTGTTCAGGACCTTTACCCATTTTTTTAATTGGATTGTTTGTCTTCCTGGAGTAGAGTCGTGTGAGTTCTTTATATATTTTCAGGATAAATCCCTTGTCTGTGGTATCATTGGCAAATATATTTTCACATAAGGTTGGCTCCCTTTTCATTTTGCTGATGTATTCTTTAGCCATGCAGAAGCTTCTTATTTTGATGAAGTCCTATATGTTTATTTTTTCCTTTATGTCCCTTGCTCTAGGAGACATATTGGTGATAATATTGCTGCGTGGGATATCTGAGAGTTTCCTGCCTATGTTCTCCTCTAGGACTTTTATGGTGTCATGACTTATATTTAAGTTTTTTATCCATCTTGAGTTTATTTTTGTGTATGGTATAAGTTGGTGGTCAAATTTCAGTTTTTTGCATATAGCTGTCCAGCTCTCCCAACACCATTTGTTGAACAGGCTATTTTTACTCCATTTTATGCTTCTGCACCCTTTGTTGAATATTAATTGACCATCGAGATGTGGGTTTATTTCTGGGCTCTCTATTCTCTTCCATTGATCTATGTGCCTGTTCTTATGCCACTACCAGACTGTTTTGATTACAGTGTCCTTGTAATATAGTTTGATGACAGGTATTGTGATCCCTCCTACTCTGTTTT